GTGTTTCAGCGCGTTGTTATGGGAAGAGTGCATCCACAACAGGATCACACATTCTGACTATAGCACGCAATAACTGCGTCATTTTGTACATATATAAGTTGTAATATTATGTTTATGTTGTATTAATATTAATCTCAGGATGCATTTCCTTGAGTTAAATAAGCTGCCAGCAAAACGCTTCAGTTTACCGTGTTCATTCAGCTCTTCAGCTTCAGCACGCGCTACTCAAACGGCTGCTATTTAAAACTGTGGTATTAATGTGTTACTTTTTCAAAATCATTGATACATTATTAATAATAACAACCACTTGTATTTTTCTCTTATTATTTTCATCAACAATATGGTTTAGTAATTAAAATCATTTAATTATTGTCCGTGCAGAGGCTATTCCGTTTTATTGATCTATGGCGCATTCATTTTGATTCTTTACACATGTAATGATGTCCAGTGACTTGTTTGCATTATTTATGCATTATTTTATTTATTTGTAAGACTTTTTTATGACTAAATTTGGTAATGGGAGAGTAAAATTATTTTTAAAACGTACACCGTTCAAGCTAGGCTGCTTATGTTGAAGTGTTTGGGATGTGGCTTTTAATGATGAGACCTTTTTTGTAATCAGGCTCTCAAAAAGTATATAAAAATTTGGATATAGATTTATCAGCCAACATATCGGTTATCAGCTTTCAAAAATAAAGAATTATCGGTTATCGGTATCGGCCAAAATTTTCATATCGGTGCATCCCTAGTTTACATGCATTACGTTTGGAAGTTTCTCTTTGTTTTCTGGTGCCATTTACATTTTCAGTTCTGTAACATGCACATAGTTATTTTAGATAGTTGTTTTTTGTTTGTTTATTAATGTTTGTTTTAGTCAAATTTTTAGTTTCAGCTATCCTTGTTATAATTGTTTGGTTAGTTATTTTTAATGTTTGGTTTGTTAGTTGTTTGTTTGTTAGTTATTTAGAACATCTTGTTTGTTTCTTTAGTTAGTCTTATTGGTTGGGTAGTTATTATTTTTATTTATGTTTGCTGGTTCTTGTTTTTGGTTAGTTTTTTAATGATTGCATTATTCTCATTAGTTTATGTTGAATGTTTTTTTGTTTTGTTTAATTTTTAGTTTTGTTAATATTTGTTAGTTATGTTATTAGTTATTATTAGTCGGTTTGTTTGTTTGTTTTTTACTTACACAGATTATAACTTTAGTTATTGTTTGTTTTTAATGTTTGTTTGTTTGTTAGTTATTTAGTTGTTTCTTTAGTTTGGTCTTGTTGCTTGGTTGTTGTTTGTATGTTTTTAATGATTGTTTGAATTATTCTTTTGTTAATATTTGCTAGTTATTATTAATCTTAGTTATTAGTTGTTTGGTTAGTTATTCTTTGGTTTATTAATGTTTGTTGTTGATTTTTACTTAAACAAGTTATAGCTTTTTAATTATTGTTTGGGTTGTTCATTTTTGTTAGTTATTTAGGTATTTTTGGTTGTTGGTTAGTTATTTTTTATTCATGTTTGTTTGTTCTTGTTAGTTTTTTATGATTGAGTTATTCTTGATAGTTGTTGGTTGATTTTTGTTTTATTTCTTAATTATCGGTTTGTAAATGTTTAATTATTTAGTTATTTTTGTTTCTTTTTTAGTTTTTTTGATTGTGTGTTAATGTGTTTTAGTTTTTGTTAGTATACATATACTCTGCTGTGAAATATTTCATCGGCTGTGAATTTTCCTCTTTGTGAGTGCATGTGTAAAGTAAAACTCACAGTTCCCCTCTACAAATGGTAACATGCAGCATTTAATAATATACACAAGTAATATCCGGCACAGTTGTATTTTTGTACACTTTGTTAAACTGCTGAAAAGCTCTTAATACCACAGATTAATGTATTCAGGAACTGGCTGAGTTGTGTAAAACAATGATTTGTGGCTTTACACATGCCAGCTTTTGTGGTAATGAGAAGTACTTTGTTTGTGAGTGATTCATATCAAAGAGTATTTTAGACTTTATTAGAGAGAGACAGGATACAGCATCATCAGTCATATCATTATTCTTTTGTTAAAACTGCACACGCAGTTTGAATGAGCTCTTTAAGACAGCTTTGAGTTCTTCTGCGTGACTTCTTACCTGACAGACATTCACACACAAATGCATTGAAGTGTTTATACATAAAGACACTCACTCATGCAAGGAACCTGAACAGCAGTGGACGGATGCATCAGCAAGAACCAACTTTGAAAATGTAGCTAGCCTTGATATTTCAGCCAGTATGATGTTACATGAGTGTAACCTTCCACCTACCATCACACTGTCATAATACTGTACACAAACAGATAATGCCTCGTACATACCCCTGCCCCCATATTTACTTCAAGGGACAATTTCTCTCTCCATTCTGTAAGAGGATTGGCCCTCTGGTGACCATCTTCTGAGTTTACTCTGATTTTCTGACTGAACGCAGTCAGAAAGTGATAATACCACACACGTAACTGCACACACGATCTTGTTTTTTAATTTACAGTCTAAATTTCAGCCCATTATATGGGTCATATTCTACACTTTTGAAGCATTTCCTTTTTCACCTTAAATCCACTTGCTACTGTACCTTCAAGACTTCTGTATCTAAATAATCTCTTTTATCTATGCATACTATTGTAGTTCACACAATTTTGGTTGTTTTTTATTTGTTCTTTTTGTTAATGTCTGTTAATTATTTATTATACATTAATGTTTGTTGTTGTCTCTAGTTAACAACAAGTAGAACTAACAACTAAATGAGCAATATTTTTACAGTATTTTTGTTAATGTTAATAAAAAATGCAGTAAAAATGCATTAACTAATGTTAATCGATGCAACTTTTGAATAATACATTTTTTAGTTAAAAAAAAATATTAGTAAATGTTGAAATTAACATGTTTATTCATTAACAAATGCTGTTGGTTTATGTTAACGTATATTAACAAATGAGACCTTATTGTAAAGTTTTACCAGTTATTCCTGTTTCTTATTGGTTGGTTGATTTAGTTAGTTGGTTAATTTTATTATTATTATTATTTGTTTGTTAGTTGGTTTAGTTTAGTTATTTATTAACGTTTTATTATAATCATTTGTTAACGTTAACTATGAACTAACAAGAACTAACAATGAGCATGATTTAGTTAGTTATTTAGTTACTTTTTGTTTGGTTAGTAATTTTTTGTTGGTTAATGTATGTTAGTTATTTGGTTTTGCATCACAATGCGAAGGTGTAGGAATACAGAATAAGCATTTGATATTAAGGATGCACTGATATATTGGTCCATAAAAGCATTTGTTCATATTATCTAAGTAATGAATAATAAAACCAAAACCAACAAACTATACTAGTCTGTATCGGCAGATGTCATTCTAAATAAATGGTTATCATATTGACCCAGAAATTTTGTAGATCTTAGACCCAAATGCTAAGATGATGGCCATCTCACATATATAGCCACAGAAATTTGGTAAACTTTGTGTCTTATTCTGTCCATGAGTAGCCAACTTAGACTGAAGAGCCCATCAAACCCATATAAAGCCTCCAACCTCAGTTTGTATGTTTTACAAGGCATGAACATCCAATATAACTGAGAAGAGCGAAAAATGCTGCTTGTTTACAGGGTAGTGTTTTCAAAACTCTTAAATATCTGTTAAAGTTTTGATGGCATGAATCTCAGAAACTTTAGCATTTTAGAGTGAAATAACCCCTAGATCTGATCATTTGGGTTGTAAAGAACAGTTCTTTGTGTTATGAGATGGTTGTGAGTCATTGCATAGAGACATTTCTTGTGTGCATATGTCAAATATATTCATCAAAGCTGTTGTCCTGTAAAAGCTCTTTTGACAAGCGTTGTTTGAATCTCCAGGTGTGTATGACACAGACCCGGCCATGGGTGGAGGCTTCCTGGATATTCTGAAAGGAGGAACCGAAAGATTCCTGACCAACATCAAAGACACTTCCTCCAAAGTCATCCAGTCGGTGGCCAGGTGAGCGATGCATTCAGTCTGCAGTAAAACACCCCTGCGGCTGTCCCATATTAACTAGTGCACACGCCTTGCTCGAGTGTGTTTTGGCTTGCCTTGGTTTCGTTATGATGCTTCTCTTTCCGCTGAGCCATTGACAGATTCAGCCGAATGGCGGAAGAGGACATAGTGGTGGATAGAGTACTAGTTATCTGCTGGCGGTTAATCTGATATCACTTAATCTAGCTCACAAACAATGCCACCCACTGCTGTCTTTGAGAATGTTTTCCAAAGTCTCTATTCCTAGTATAAATAGATTAATAGAATAATTATACTAGCTTCCTTTCAGCAAATTCTGCAGTAGCATTACATGTATTCTTCACAGAGGGAGTGCATTGTGGCGAAAACATCCATTCAAGATGGAGGACTAAGCAAGAGAATTCTTGATTTATAAATATATTTTGTTTAATTTCAAAGTTATAATATATAATAATGTATAATATAATAATTAAATGAAGAGTATTTTACCCCAAAATTGCACTACATGTATTTGTATATCTCAAATCAGTAGTATTATGACATACTATTATACAGTAGTAGTTTTTAATATTTTGAATTAGCTTTTGTTTTTATATTTTCAACTTTCATTTTAATTTTAGTTGAACTTTTACTAATTTTATGTCTTTTAAAAAAAAACATTCCTATCTAGCTTTTTGAAAATTTGTGTCTCTTGTCATTTTTTAAATATTTTTAGTTTTAATTTTAGTCATTTTATGGTCTTTTGTCATTATACATTTTTAAATATTCCTGATTTTAGTTTTAATTTTAGTAGGGGTGCTCCGATTGATCGGCTACCGATCACTATCGGCCGATAATCGCTCTGGGAAGTTTGATCGGCGGTCTCTATAAAGGCCCATATCAAAATACTGATGACACACCTGCTGATGACACACCTGCTGTGAGAGGTTCAGCATGACATGCAGCGGCACCATCTCAATCTCTGTTCACACATACTCTTGCTTATATTTATTGCATTTAAACACGTCTATGAAAAATTGTATTACTGTACTGCGTAAAAAGAGAATCACAATGCTCAAAACGCATTTTCAGTAACAACGTTTGGATTTGAAATCAAAATGGATAAATGTTGTGTTTGTGGTAAACAGCCGCGGATCAGGAGCAGACCTCTGTGTGAAAGCAGAATGAGTCCGTGCTGCTTCTGCACCGCTTATGTACCGCACATTGACTGCATACGCACTGCAGACGGTGTATGCTTGTCCCATTATAAAAACAAAAATGCACTGCATGATCAAACATTTAGGTGAGATAATTATATATATTTTTTAAAATTGTCAAAAAAATGCCCCCCTCCACCCCTCAAATTAAACCCCCCACCCACAAGATTCACCTTAGAGGGGAATTCCCCCCATTTTCCAAAATGAAATTCAGGCCCTGAATGAATGTCTGTAAAAATCCTGTCTGGAGCATCACTATAAATAATTCTACATTATAAAAAGAAAGCTTCAAAAAGATCGGTATCGGTGATCGGTATCGGCAGATACTGCTTCCTGTGATCGACAATCGGTGATCGGCCCAAAAAATTCTGATCGGAGCACCCTTACATTTTAGTAATTGTAATATTAAATAAAAAAATAAAATTAATAATAATGTCTTTTGACATTATTATTTTTTAAATATTCCTATTTAGCTTTAATTGTTTTTTTTTAAATATATATATATATATATATTCATATTTTATGATTAATAATATTAGTTTTAATATTAGTTAAAGTTCTTGTAATTTTATGTATTTTGTCATTTTTTTATGTATTTATTTATACATTTTCCTATTTAGCTTTTCATTTATGTTTTTAAGTTTTAGTAATTTAGGTCATTTTAGTTCTTATTTTATTTCAGCTCTATTTCATTTAACAGAACTTTGATAGTTTTAATTTTAGTTACCAATAGCAACACTGACTCAAATATAAAAAATAAAAGCAAAAAAATAAATGACAGTATACTACCTCATTATAATGCATGCTGCACAATTATTCCTGAACATGTGAGTCATGATATCCCCTTTAATGAATAATTGTCTCATATGAAGCATTTCTTTTTAATGAGTTAGCCTGGGGCATTTTAATGTAGAATAACATATGCTTATGCATCATACTCAAAACAAAGGACATTTATAAAATTAAATGGGGTCAATTCTGAGTCCATGTTGATTCGATCATGATTATCTTCATAATAAGGTAAATTTGATCTGTCTAATTGCAGTGACTGGACGTTAATTTCTTGGTAAACTCAATCAGGGTTTTGTTTATGACACACACTGATCTACCAGATCATAAATTCCCCTCCACTCCCCTTCCATAATCTGTTTGCATTCATTAATCATGTTTAATAATTATCCCCCTCAACGTCTCCACAAGTCTGTCATGTTTATTTTCTCCTCAGTTGGCCCATTTTTGCTTTCCATTTGTTTTTGTTCATTGTCTTGTTTTGTTCATTTTGTTCCTGAATCACGTCTCTCGGTCCCAAATCGCCAACCCCTTGCAGCTCCAGGTAACTATGGGACAGCGCCTGTGTGTCTATGTTTTTGCGTTACACGTGTGTACTGTATGTGTAGAGATGGTGTGTGAACTTCACTCCACCTTCATCTCAATGCTTTGTTCGCTGTTTGTTCATAACCACAGTCTGAGTCTGCTCCCATCAGCACAGCATTACCCTGATCAGTAGTGTTTCTTGAAAGTTTAAACAGCTGCCTACTAAATCCATATGTGTGAGTGCTGCTCCTCAAATAACTTTAAAGGAATAGTTCACTATATTCAATGATATATCACACAGTATTCCAAGCCTTCTATATAAATAAATAGTGACTAAAGTTGCATTTATTTAATCACAAATACAGAAAAAAACAGTAATATTGTGAAATATTATTACAATTTAAATTAACTTTCTATTTTCTATTTGAATTTAAAATTTATTTAATTTATTCCTGTGATGCAAAGCTGAATTTTCAGCATCATTACTCCAGCCTTCAGTGTCACATGATCCTTCAGAAATCATTCTAATTTTCTAAAAAAAATTAAAAGAAATTTTACTTACCCAAACTTTTGAACAATAGTGTACATAACAGAAGGAATATAAGTAAGTCAATTTTAGTTTTTGAGTGAACTATTCCTTTAAGTTTAGTCTTTGCCTTTAGACCCAGATTTCTAACAGAGTTTGTAATAAAGTTTGTACATACAAGCCAACAAAAGTTACTCTTTTTCTTGTTGACAGGTTTTCCGTCGAGGTTTAGCTTGTAATCTAGATGTTCTTTTAGTTCTTGCATTCATGCATCTAAACATGTGTCCTGTCCTGTCTCAGTTATGCTAAGGGAGAACTGGACCTGTCCTACATCACCTCCAGACTAGCAGGTACAGTCAGCTGTGTATTACAGCTTTCAGATTCATTTTGGATGTCTTAACTCTAATGTAATGGTGTTAAAGTTATTTACCTGTCTATTTGTGTTTTTGCAGTCATGTCTTTCCCAGCTGAAGGTGTTGAATCTGCAATTAAGAATAACATTGAGGACGTGCGTCTGTTCCTGGATTCTCGACACGCGGGTCATTATGCAGTATACAACCTCTCCAAACGCTCCTACAGACCGGCCAGGTTTCACAACAGGGTGAGAGTGGACAGCAAAGCATTTGATTGCAAATGACTAACAGATTACAGGGATCTAAACTGATGTCTTATCCTAATATCATAAATCCTGTGTTGTTATTGTTAACTAAAACTAATTTAAAGGGTTACTCCACCTCAAAATGAAAATTTTGTCATTAATCACTTACCCCCATGTCGTTCCAAACCCGTAAAAGCTTTGTTCGTCTTCGGAACACAATTTAAGATACTTTGGATGAAAACCGGGAGGCTTGTGACTGTCCCATTGATTGCCAAGTAAATTACACTGTCAAGGTCCAGAAAAGTATGAAAGACATCGTCAGAATAGTCCATCTGCCATCAGTGGTTCAACCGTAACGTTATGAAGCGACGAGAATACATTTTGTACACCAAGAAAACAAAAATAATGACTTTATTCAACAATTCGTCTCCTCTGTGTCTCTCCGCATCACCGTAGCGCCATTTTGGAGAATATCCACTGAACGCAAGCAGCGTACGCTCTTCTATAAGGTTGGCACTGATGGCAGATGGACTATTCTGACGATGTCTTTCATACTTTTCTGGACCTTGACAGTGTAATTTACTTGGCAGTCAATTGGATAGTCACAAGCCTCCCGGTTTTGATTACGAAATTTTATTACATTTATTACAACCATTGAAATTGATATAAAAAGAGGATCCAGAAAAATGAAAACATTATTTAGGAAAAAATAAAACCGATTTCATAAGGCCCTACATACTGTACTTGATAAACTCATAATTGCATTGTGTGTGCAGGTATCAGAGTGTGGTTGGCAGCCTAGACGAGCTCCTACTCTGAAGAACTTGTACAGTATATGTAAAAACATGCACCAGTGGCTCAAACAGGACCAGAGGAACATCTGCATCGTACATTGTCTGGTGAGTAAACACACACACACACACACACACGGCCCTTTTCCAACAATGTTACTATTAGTGCTGTCAATCGATTAAAAAAATGTAACTAATTAATAACAATTTTTTTCTGAAATGAATCGCGATTAAATATTTTTAATGCCGTTAAAGTGAAAACAATTAATCACATGCATTAACTTGCCTACAAACAAACATATTACACTGTGGCCTTTGTTGACAAGTCATAATCTCATTTTCGATAACTTATTTTAACTTCCCAATTCATTTAATTCAGCATATTCAGAAGAAAAATTATGTTTGGGTATCCTAGTGTGTCCTGTCATCTTCATATTGTGGCTGTGTGTTTTTGCAGGATGGACGGGCAGCGTCGGCTGTGGTGGTTTGTGCATTCCTCTGTTTCTGTCGTCTGTTCTCTACGGCCGAGGCTGCAGTTTACATGTTCAGCATGAAGCGATGCCCACCGGGCATATCGCCCTCACACAAACGGTAACTTCCTGTCTTTTTCTCACTCTGTTCCTTTGAATTAAGAAGTACTGCACACCAAAATGTCAGGGCAGGTTGTTTTAGAACCGAAATCGACGCTCTGTGGATTAATTCAGTAGCTCAGGTGCATGAACATGAGCAGTGAGCCGCAGGTGTGACGGCTCTTTGGTGTTGAGGTCACTTCCTGCCACAGCTGTTCTTTGGCATGCCAAGAGCTTCTGCCGAAATTCGCAAGCTCATGGGACTCTTTTGATTCTAACCAAGTGTGAATGTGTGTGGTTACTGGATCTGATAACAGTGACTTTGTCAGCTAAATGTAAAGGAAGTGACATAACCTCGAACAGAATGTTTAGTTCTGCTGCTCACCAGAACACAAGAGTGTTGAGCTGCATTTAAAGGAATGTTCCCGGGCAGTGTTACTTTATTATTTTTATATACTATAGTATTTATTAATATTTTGAATTTGCTTTTACTATTATATTTTCAATTTTAATTTTAGTAATTTTATAATGTGCTTTTGTCTGTTCTATTTAGCTTAAATTTATTTATTTATTACTTTTAGTTTCAGTAATTTTAGTATTTCAGCTTTAGCTTATTTATTTAATTTAGCTGCCAATGAAAACATTCTAATTTTGTTTCATTTAATCTGTATATTTATTTTACTTCAACTTTATTTCAATTAACAAAAATAATTTTTTAATAGTTTTAGCTTTAGTTAACAGTAACTAGTAGGGCTGGGCATCGATTCAGATGTAAAGATTCGATTTGATTCCGATTCACAAGCTTTCGATTCGGTTTGATACTTAATTCGTTTCTCGATTCGATGAATATAGATTTAATACAAATGCTATTGATATTTATAAAACTGAACGATGAACATCAGTTTACAAATGGCAAATTAATGAAAAGAAATTAAGAGCCACAGACTTGTTTTTTAAACTCTATTTCAGGCACATTAAACAACCCTCTACATTGCGAGTAAATCACTCGCATATGCGACTAAATCTTCACTCTGGGTGACTAAATGATGTCTATCGTTAGCCATTGGCTAATATATTCTTAGATTTTACTCGCCAGTGTGTGAGTTGGAGGCCAAGTATAAGTATAGCACAGATATATTTTCACTCGCTGAACAATGACTGAGCGCTTGAGAGTTGTACTCCATCAAGCGATTCTGTGCTATTTATCTCAATGGATGCGCAGCGTACCTGTATTTGACGTACTGTAAACTCTAGTGTGAAGGCTACCGACCCTGTTTGGAAGCCAGCGTTCACTCGAATGTGATTAATATTCATGAACCCAGCAGCTCATCGATCCTTAGTGTGATGTATATTGTTATTAGTAGTAGTATTATCTGTTAATAATTAGTACCATTATTATATTACTATTATCTATTTTTTTTCAGAAACCCTGAATGACCAACAATACCTTAAGCATCACCACCAGTCCTAAGTTCAGTTAAAATTACAAATATGCATTCATTCATGGTTACCAAGTTTTAGTTCTAATCACTAAAGTTCTATCATTAAATAGTGCTTAATTATCATAATATCATAATATAATGCTTGATTGACTGATTAAGAAGCTGTGCCATTTAACAAAGATAAGCTGATTTGGTGGAATCATATAAATATATTAGTGTTGGGATGCGATTAATCGTGATCATGGCTTTTGAGAATCGACATCGAATCGACCATAGTTTAAAAAACGATTAATCGAAAAATCAGATTTTTTGCCCAGCCCTAGTAACCAGGTTATTGTTTACTAAAACTGAAACCATAAAGAAATATTTTCATTACTTGAAATAAAATAAACATTAACTGAAATAAAATAAAATATTTCAGCTAGTTGCCAAAGTAACCTTTTACTTTTTTGTTTAGAATAATATGAAGTAATAAAATAACTAAAAACTAAAACTTGATAAAAACTGTACAGACATATTTAACAAAAAACAAATGACAAACACAAAACTAAATTACTAAAACTTTAAAATTCAAATGAGAGCAGAAAATATAAAAATAAAATCTAATTCAAAACATTTACAAAAGCTATATCAATGATATAACACTGACTATAACACAGGTTCTAATGCACTTACAGTAGAAATAGGGCTGGGCGATATAGCCAAAAAAAAATATCTTGATAAAATTTTTCATATCAGTCGATATCGATAATTATCACGATAAATTTCAAATCTTTATTTCTTTCAAATTTAAAGGCAGATTTTTGCTCCCAAGTGAAAGTTGTTGAAACCAGACTACCAGAAACCAGTTAATTGTGGTTTAAACTACTCTTTATGGTCAGAAAGTAGTAGCTTGAGTTAAAACGTCACTATTGCCTTTTAAAAGCCCTTTTTTTCGAACCCCTGGTGTATTAAAGTCTTTTGAAATAAGGTCATTTGCATATAGAAAAGTGCAGTAACAGCCTGTTTAATTCAAAGGGTCAGAGAGGAGGGGGAAAATGGGCATGTAAAACTAAATCACTGTTTTTGGTACAAGAAACTTTGACTAACGTCTAAAGCAAAGCAACCGCACATGAAAAAAGTCTTGATGATAGCCTCATAAATTTGGGTTCGGCTCAAGATCAAAATGTGTAGTTTAGCTGTAGATGTACAGTCGTGGTCAGAATTATTGGCACCCTTGGTAAATATGATCAAAGAAAGCTGTGAAAATAAATCTGCATTGTTAATTATTTTGATCTTTTATTTAAAAAAATTCACTAATATCTAACCTTTCATTGAACTAAAACAATTGAAAATGGGGGGAAAATCTCATTATGAACTAAATGTTTTTCTCAAATACACATTGGACACAATTATTGGCACCCCTAGAAATTCTTATGAGTAAAATATCTGTGAAGTATATTCCCATTCATATTTACAATTTTGAGCATACCAGGGTGATGATGAACATGAAATTATCCAGCCATGGCTTCCTGTTTCACAGGAATATAAATGAGAGGGAAAACATAGGCCAAATTCCCTTAATCATCCGTCACAATGAGAAAAACCAAAGAATATATTTCTGATGTGCAGCAAAAGATAATTGAGCTTCACAAATTAGAAAGTGACTTTAAGAAAAGAGCTAGAGCAGTGAAAATTCCCATTTCCACCATCAGGGCAATAATTAAGAATTTCCAATCAACAAAAAAAGTTACAAATCTGCCTGAAAGAAGACGTGTGTCTATAACATCCTAATGCACGGTGAGGAGGAGAGTTTGAGTGGCTAAAGACTCTCCAAGGACCACAGCTGGAGAATTGCAGAAAATAGTTGAGTCTCAGGGTCAGAAAACCTTTAAAAAAAAAAAAAATCAAACAGCACCTACACCACATGTTGCTTGGGAGGGTTTAAAGAAAAAAAATCAAGAAAAGAAAATGCTCTCATCCAAAAACAATCCCCAGCATATTCTGTTGTCAGACACGACTGGAACTTCAAATGGGACTGGCTTCTATGGTCATATGTAACTAAAAAATTTGCTTTTTAGCAACAAACACTCAAGATGGGGTACCCCATGTGTACAATGAAATAGACTGCTGTATTTTTAATGTTGTGGGCCTATATTTCTGCTGGAGGTCCTGGACATCTTGTTTAGATACATGGCATCTTTGATTCTATCAAATACCAACAGATAAAAAATCAAAAAGTGACTGACTCTGTTAGAAATCTTATAATGGGCCATGTTTGGATCTT